TGCCGGGTATAGGTAGGGTGAGGTATGGGAAGGGTAGGCTTTGGGTAGGGTAGGGTAGGGTAGGATAGGATAGGGTACGTATGGGTAGGGTAGGTTATTGTATGGGTAGTGTATAGGATAGATGTAGTTTTGGGTATGGGTAGGGTTAAGTATGGGTATGATAAGGTATAGGGTAGAGGTAGGTTCGCCGTTTGGGTAGGGAAGGGTAAAGTTGGGTATGCTAGGTTAAAGTTGGGTATGGTAGGGTATAAGGTAAACGTAGGGTAGGGTATGGGTAGGGTATGGGTAGGACTAGGGTATGGGTAGGGTATGTATATTGGTAGGGTAGGGTAGGGCCTTTTGCGGCTTTTTCGATTGGCGGCGGTTAGGCGTGCGATGCGGGCGGTTTCCTTTGTTGCGGCGTTTTGCGGCTGGCGGCGGGCAGGCGTGCGATGCGGGCGGTTTTTTTGCGGCGGTGTTTGCGTTTTTGCGGTGTTTGCGTTTGTCGGCGGGCGGCCGTTTTTTGCGGCGTTTTGCGGTTGGCGGCGGGCAGGCGTGCGATGCGGGCGGTTTTTTGCGGCGGTGTTTGTGTTTTGCGGCGGGCGAGCGGGTGATGCGGGCCGTTTTGATTTGCTTGCGGCGTTTTTGCGTTTTTTTTTGCGGTTTGCGACGGGGGGGGGCGATTTTTTATTTGTTTTGATTTATTGCGACGTTTGCGTTGGCGTTTCGGGCGTGCGTTTTGCGCGTTTTGCGTTTTGGGTCGGGCGGGCGCTTTTTTGTTTCCTTTTTACGGTGTTTGCGTTTGGGGCGAGCGGGCGCTTTTTTGCGGTGTTTGCGTTTGGTTGCGGGCGGGCGATTTTTAGGCGTTTTCGGTTGGCGGTAAGCGTGCGTGCGATGCGGATGGTTTTTTAGGCGTTTTGCGTTTTTTTTGCGTTGGGCGGGCGGTTGTTTATTTTTTGCGACGTTTGCGTCGGCATTTCGGGCGTGCCTTTGGCGCATTTTGCGGTTTTAGCGTTTGGCGGCGAGCGGCCGTTTTTTTACGAGGCGTTTGCGGTTGGCGGCGGGCGGGATGCGATGCGGGCGGTTTTCATTTTTGCGGCGTTTGCGGTTGGCGGCGGGCGGGAGCGCGATGCGGGCGGTTTTTATTTTTGCGGCGTTTGCGGTGTTGTTTGCGGTTGGAGGCGGTCGTTTTTTATTTTTGCGGCGTTTGCGGTTGGCGGCGGGCGTGCGTCTTTTTTAATAATTCAATATCCAAACTTTTGAATCCGTAGTGCTACTCGAAAAGCCGTACCTACCTACTATGCAATTAAATAAAGTAACTATCAAACTCAACCCTACTTATATAAACATACAAGTTTTGACAACGAAATAGCCCCATCAACAATATCTATCCAAACGTACAGTTATCGCGTAAACCTGTATTCTAGTCTATATTATGATTTATAAGTCGTCCGTGCGTTCTCCATCCATCCATCCGTGTGTCATGTCTTATGTGTCTTATTGCGTCGGAACGGCGGCACGTAGCGACGTGAAATTTGGCATGCCGAATCTGTGGGCGTGGGCGGCCTTTGTATTAAAATTTGGGCGTGATCGGACCAGGGGTGCGCCGTCGGCACGTGCAAAAGGGTGCTCCCATAGGCTTAACACGTGGCCGGCGAAAACCGCCAACGGGCGAAAACCGGGCCTGCAGCGCTCCTTTCCCGAGCTTATATCTCGGTAACCGTAAGTCGCAGCGACATGCGGTTTTTACTGATGGATACAGAAGAGATGGGCCTATCGTATGCAATAAGTTTTTTTCTTAGGTATGTACCACGTGCAAAGAAATAGCCTCTAATCTCAAGAAAACGGGCATTTTTTACACATTTCAGGAAAAACGTTGGCATTTGAAAACGATGCACTCGAATGACACGGGGTGCATTTCACGGACTAAAAGAGGATCTGGCCTCTTCAGAATATATATATTTTTGGCCATTCACTCGCACATCTTTATAATTAAACGCTTACAAATTGCGAGTTTTACGTGAAACAGGCACGCTTACCTTTACAACATCATAATATATTGATAACGTAGACTTATGGCTGAAAGTCCTTAATATATTGAAAGAGCACTCTTTTCTGATCAATATCCACCCAAAATATTTTCAAAAAGTCATCAAGGGCTCTTAGAAACAGAGCAATCATTGTACCGTTTTCGACGCATTTTTACCGGTTGAGCGGCGGCCGGGCTTGAACGCGGCCAGGGCGCGGTAATATTACCGTGTGCCTTATATTCGTCTAATACTCGCCCCTATTCCGCTGACAGCGCGGCCGAGGGGATAAGATGCCTGTCCCATAATCCGAAGGCGGATGGTTCGCGGCTGGTTAGCTATGAAGTTTTTCGCCCGAATTCGTCCCTAGATAGCATTCGGCCAGCCGGCAACCGCCGAGAGGGATGCGAATGTTACATTTTAACGAGCTGGCGTACCGTTAGGGATCGACTCAGCAACAAAGCATTCTTACTCTCAGATCAATATACTGAAAGCTGGCCATCTAGGGTATGAGTACTAAATAGTGTATGGGCAGAGTAGGTATGGGCAGGGTAAGGACGGGTAGGATAGGGTAGAAGTTGGGTATGGGCCGGGTAGGGTATGGGCAGGGTAGGGTATGGGCAAGGTTGGGTATGGGCAGGGTTAGAGTATGGGCAGGGCAGGGTATGGGCAGGGCAGAGTATGGTTAGGTGATGGGTAGGATAGGATAGAAGTTGGGCATGGGCAGGGTAGGGTATGGGCAGGTAGGGTATGGCTAGGGACCCAAATAATACCAATAAAACGATTTTTAACCCAGCATAATGCATCCGTAAAACCAATTTAATCAAAACATAAAGTTATAGCGCAAAACATGCCATCTAGTGGTCGCTAAATTCGAAATCAGCTCCAAAAACTAGCCTAGAAACATGTAAAACTCGAAAAAGTGAACCGAGGTCACCAAAGGTCAATGACATGACCTGACCTTCAGGTGACCTTGACACCCAGCATAATGCATGGAACCAACATCATTTCACATGGTTGAACGTTTGAAACCACAAAAAGACTGCAACCGCGCGGATAATGTGAGCCGACACGCCGAATCGCGATTCCGGCCAAACATGGTCTCGGGAAATAGGTCACAGGTCAAAGGTGATTTGGGTCAGGGTCATGAAACTTTCAGTGTGGGTGTAAAATTGATTAACCCGAATGTACTGAAAGTTTCGTCTTGATCGGCCACTTTTTACGCGAGTTATCCGCGAAAAAACGAGGGTGGTCCGTTCGACCCCCTATAAGTCCGAGGGTTAAGGTTTTGACTTGAGTCGTTGACCTCGAGTCAAAGTCTGGTAAGAGTCCCTCAGGTCACGAACTTGGTCAAAGGAGGTCGACTGTCTAACTTACTTTGTTCCGGAGGTATTGACGGAAAACTAATATGGCCCTTGTGACGTCATAAATGACGTCATGCAAGGTTAGCAATGCAAAGGTGTAGCACCGTACCTTGCAGGGAGCGCATGAAACCATGATTCCATGTGCTTGAGATAGTTTTAGATCATTTCTGACGCTAAAATAACAGTTTCCATATTTCCCTCATTGACTTATAACGGTGAGATCACGTGACCGACCTGACCGCATGTGAACTTTAGCAAAAAATCCGAGATATACAAGTTGTGAGACCTCGGAGTATGCTACGTCCTGTAAGTTTCATCTTCCTGTGAAAGTTCCTCTGGCACTGAGGGCGCTGTGAAGCTGCGGCATCTTAGGACCGTGCAGAGGTTCACTTATGACGTCATAGGTCAGCGACCTGACCTGACGTGACCTGAAAATGCGGTTGATTTAACCAGATCCGGCTTGAATCAAAGGTCAAGTATGCCAAGTTTCAGCTCTTTATCGGCGGCGTGTTGTGAGCTATCGCGTTAAAACCTATAAGGGGGCAACACCCCCCCTCGGCCTCGGGGGGGGGGGGGGGGCGTGACTTATGCAGAATTTCCCATTAACTCATGTGCAATGCTTCTCATTTTTTTAGGAAACAAAATGTGTTTGAGGTTTCGCGAGACCAGACCGGCCGGATCGCCCACTGTGCATCGCCTGAGGCCTTTCTGGTCACGTGACAGCTCATCCTCCGGTCAATTAGAATACTTCTGACCCACGAGATAACACTGGCTGGTGTTACTGTCATCACTTGAAATAATTTAAGCTAAAATGCAGTCTGATTTGTTCGCTCCCGTCACTATGGAGCTAATAAAGGCTAGACAGCGTATTGCAAAATGTTGCATAGCAGCAAATGGCGCAAGTTTGCGCACTTTTTCATTGCTTGGCCGGTTCAATAACATCACAATGCACATTGTGACACACGATTTAGAGCGGGACCTGGGGGAACTCAAAAGATCGGCTTTAACATAGTGAGTGATATTCATTTTAAGCATACAATATAACTCGATGACATGTTTATCTCTCATGCTGCTAAATGATTTTCTCAACCTCATTTTTCGTTGCGCGGGATTGGTCGTAACATGTCACAGAACAGCTCATAAAACCATTTACGTGTAAAACTCACGCACATAGGATCCCCATGGCATCTACTTTGACTCTTCAAACACCCGAAAACTATGACTTGTCTACGGCCTAAGAAATCTTTGTGTTTGAAGCCCCTTTCACCCTATACCAAGTTGTTGCATGACCAGATAATGGTCATTTATGTAATGTATGGACATTTTGTAGTCGATTGGTATGCTTTTTGTTTTCATAAAAGCAAAATAATTTTTTTGCCCCGTAAGAGGCTAGACCGGCCCGAACGCCTACCGTGCGGTGGAGCACCGCGGGAGGCGGGGGGGAGGGAGAGGGGTGACGAGGGGACAGGATGGGAGAAAGGGGATGTCGCTCCACCCGTGTTCTCCCGCCCCGTCCCGCTGTATGGATGGACCCGCTGACACCTGTGTGGATAACCCGCTCAGACATGTGTGGATGACCTCACACCTGTGTGGATGTATCCGCTGACACCTTTCTCTCTCCCTGTTGCAGAGAGCTGCCCTGGCCGAACGCGAGGTGGACAGTCTGAAAGAGCAACTGGCGGCCACTGTCAAACGGGCACAGCTCGCCGACGAGGCCGATGGCGGCTCCGATTCGCAACGACGCTCCGCCACCGAACGACAGCTCGCTTCCAAAGACAATGAGGTGAGCAGCAATGTTTGTATGCGTGTATGTGCGAATGAAGGATGATAGAGGAGAAAAATGAGGAGCGCAGAAACACTGAAGAGAGGACCTATCGTTCTTCGCTAGGCGTCCCCTCACGTTTGCAAGACTGAAATTAAAATGTTCGTTAAAAAAGCGTGACCGATGATGTAGGTATCGATTATTGCTAGTTCATGTACATAAGTCGTACGTGTGTATTTACTTTCGAGGAAGTTGTTGTGCAACATTTGTCGTTGAAAGAGGTGAGGCACACTCAATTTCGAATGTAATAGTAAACAACGCTCAACGGTCGGTAATAGCCGAATCAAACAACACACTCACAGAGCTATTAAACTGTTGTAACGACGCGCCGGCCCGCCTCCCCGATGGCAGATTATATGCCTTTGCGCTTTGTCGCTGTGTCGGTGGCCGTTTGCAGTCCAGTTGGGCCATTAAGTAGCCGAGTGGGCCGGTCCGTTCAGCGATGGTTGCTGGGCTAATCGGTGTCGCCCGCCCCGGAGGTCAGGGCGCGAGCCACGCGCGGCCGGTCCCGCTGGTCGACTCTAGTCTGTGTAGTGAAGGGAGCGGTCAATAAACGGAACACAGGAGCACGCCCAGCGTGGGGCGGCGGCCCTGAGAGCGGCGCGCCGTCGTCAGGTGGGCGCCGTGACTCGTGCCGCCCCTCCCCCGCTGGAGGGAGGGGTCTGTTTGATCGCCTGAGTGGGCCGATCAACGCTGATCGTCGCTGCCGTCGCCGCCGTCAATGCCGCCGACGGCGTGAGCATCAATGGCGCCGTCGGCGTCGTTAGTCACGGTATTCACATGCGCGCTGCCGCCCCTCCCCCCCCCCCGCCCCGGTTGACTGTTCGCCGGCCACTTCTGATGGATAACCGATAGAGCATCCATCGACCGAGGCCGGTGTCGGGGGCTTCAGACCCTGTCCGGCCCCTGGCGCGTCCTCTGTCGTCAATCAGGTCACCTCAGTGTCCACTGGCGCCGGGCGTGGTGTCTGTGACCTGTGGGTGTGTTGATAGGGATGCTCGGTTTCGGATGCGTAGTGGGTTCGAATGTTGCAGCTGTTGGCTGACCTTCATGGTTTCCGCACGAGCATTGTCGGACTGACTGTTTACCTATTTCGGAAAATTTTCCACATGCCTGGTCCTCGAATAGCATCCAAAGGTCGCTTTTGTGGTCGTGCGGCTCGGTAGCCCGGTCCGGCCATTCCAGCTGCGAGTTTACAGCGTAGCTGGTGTGTAACGGTTTGTGATTTTCCCGGCCGATGGCTGTAGGACACAAGCGTCTCACCTGGTGGAGGGTTCCCACGCGCGCCGCACTGGAAGCCGCCGCCGCCGTGTTAGCCTCTGCAAGGTCCCGCAGTGCGCGGAGGTGCTGTACAACTGTACATTCCCGAGCAGCTGTGAGGTGGCACCGCATGTTCAGCAGACCGACACGCTGTTCCCAATAGTAATCCCCCTAATCGGCCGGATTACATACCAGAACGCAAAGGACCTCCATGCAACTTGTCAATATTTTTTATTGACATGCTATAGCCGACTTGCAGGTGCAATGCACAGCATTATTGCTGGAGTAGCGCATGCCTCACATGGCCCACCGTGTAAGACAGCGGTGGCGGAGAGCGGCCGGCCGGCCGGTCCGCCGGCGGGCTGACCTCGCGGTGTGTCCCGTTCTTTACCCGACCCTCCGCTCCGTCCCCCAGCAGCGCCGATGGGACCGATGGACGCCACGGCTGGCCGACACCACTGTGCGATATCAACCCTTGGAGGCCCCGCCCTGCACGTTTCTGCTTCTTATCGGCATTCTCCCCTCCCTATACACCAGCGCAGCGACAGCGCCGGGCCGGGCCGGTCGTCATAATAGGCGACCAATTTGCCGCTCCACCAAATTTGCATGTACAATAAGGCGACAAGACAGTGCCGGCTTTAATTGCTTGTTTTGCCGCGGCGACCGGACGGAGGTGCAGTATCAATCGGCCCTGCCGCTCGCCGCTCTTTGTCACTTTGTCGTCTTCACTCGAGAGGGGGAGGGGGTCGTTTGGTGATCGCTCGGGTGGCGCCGTGTCGCTATTTGACGTCCCTGACGGCCGCTTGGACTCCAGTAGAACCCATTGTTCTTATCTTGGCTGGCGGGTACGGTGTAATGGTAAAAACGGGCCTAAAAACGACCCGGTGTCAAACGAGTGGTGAGGCGGCGGCGGCGGAGGCGGAGGCGGTGGCCGAACGGCACGTGCCCAGACACCTCGGCTTCACACGTTCACACGTACTTACGGAAGTGAAGGAGCCGAGGCGGCAAGGGTTCGTGGAATGTTCCAACACTGTGTTGACGATGACTGGAGCTTCGGGTGTATTGATTTGGCCGAGTGCGATAGAAATCACAAAGCTGACGTCAGGGAATGTTGCAGTAGCTGGAATAATGAATAATAAAACAGGTCTTTGTTTTGACGATATGCTTTGCTGACCGTCTGATCGCTACTCGGCTTTGGGTCCTGTCAATCGTGTAAGAAATTAGAAACGTCTGCGTTCTTATTTTGTATTTATTTCTGACCCATTTGTTTTTCGTTGGAGCTCTGGGGCGGTGAAAACGCCTCGACAGCCGGTGTCGTGAGGACCCCGGCTGGTGGTCACTGGTCACTGGTCGGTCAGAGTAGGACACCTATCTGTTCGGACACTGCTGAATGGCCGTGGATGGCCGCTGCCGATTGGTCGACACAGAGCTCCTCTGGCCTCCGATTGGCCAGTGGACGTCAGCGGCGGAATTTTAATGAGCGGCCGGCCGCGCCGTCTCGGGTTGCGGCGCCGGCCGGGGTGTGGTGCCGCCGCTGTTGTCATCGGCTGACGGACGGCGCGGCTCGTATCGTCAATCTGCGGCCCGTGCAATCACCGCTCTGGTGCCAGCCGCAGCTGAGGTGGCCGCCGGCTGCCCGGAGCTGTGTGAGTTTCTCATGGCAGCCACCTTCCCACCGTCGGACACTGGGCTGCGCCACACGGAGGCCGCGCACCGCCCAGATGGTTATTTTATGACGTCACGTCAAACCCGCTGCGTCAGCTGATGATTCTGTGACGTCACCGTCTGGCCATGGCTGTCGCGCCGTTGTAAAAACTCCAGCCAGCTGGTGTGGGGAAGGCTAATCCCCGGACGCTGTTAAAAAGTCTAATCTCTCGATCAGTATTGAAGCTAATTGTGCCAGATGGAATAATGGCCGGTTTGTTAGGAGCAGCCGATAAGGTTGCAGCTGCCGCCGAGGGCACGCCCGAATTGGAACGGCACGAGACGGCGCCGTGTGTAGACAAAGCGGCTGTGGAGGGCGACATTCCGCCGCGACACGTGCCCCCCCTCCCCCCTCCCCCCCCAGCCGTGACGCGCCGATCGGACGCCCGATGACGCCAATTGACGCGTGCGGCCGATGGCGGCGCGGTATCGGTAAAACATGGTCCCGTCACGCTCGGTTCGTGGCCGCTCTGCGGTGGAGCAGTGCCGATACGCGCTGTGACTGCACGCGCCCCTGCTCTGCCGGCGATGGGGAGGGGGTGGTGGGTGGCCCCTGACCCAACCCGGCACGGCGGCCGGTGCTCTTTGTGCAGTACCGGAAACGTCCCCTTACGGCGCCGCGATCGGACCAATACTGTCACGCGGCACTGGCCGATACCGCCGTAAAACTGATTTATGTCGTCTTTTATGGTAAAAAGGCGCCACGGCCTTTGAGCACACAGTTCGGTCGCGTTCAATTACGTCGACTATCCGAGTGTGAAATCCGAGGTGCGGTCGGGCGGAGCGGTCGGCCGGATTTGTGGCGATACCGCTGACTGGCGACGGTCGTCGGGGTCACCGAATCGCCCCTGGTGCTGACGTTGTTCCGCTGTCTCTTTGCAACGCCGGGAGAGGTTGAAACAGAGAGATGTGAGTGGTATCGTGGCGTTGTTTCAATCATCCTCTCAAGCCACTATGGCTCGATTTGTAAACATGATTCCATTTGCCGTTCGAATGGGTCTCAATTGAATGAAGTTCCGAGTTCCGCGGTGTCCCATCCCTACCGTCGGTCGCGGTGGGGATGGGACAGGAGGCGCGGGGCTGCGGCGGGTTCGGTTTCCGTCGACCGGCCGACCTTTTTACGGCGATCTGCGGCGACGGCAGCTCGCGCCGCCGCCGCCGTCGGCGACGCCATGCGGTTTTTGTGGGGCGTGTCGCGCCGCCGACTTCCTGTCCCCGTCGACGGCGACTGTTCCCACGCTCCGACCCGCCCCCGCCCCCGCCCCCGCCGCCGCCCGCCGCCCGCCGCCCGCCGCGCCGGCCACCGACAGCTGCGGTAATTAAAATAAAACGGTCGGTGATTAGGCCGGCCGAGGTGGTTGCCGTCCGATCAGCTCTGCGGCCGGCCGTGCATCATAGCGAGCGGCCGGTAATGGCGCCGATAGCGGCGGGCGGCGGCCGACCTACCCGGTGGGCCGGCCGTCAGCGCGCGGCCCACCGCCGACTAGCACTGATACGGACGGCCCCATATTTACTGCCGCACCACTAACGGGCGGCCGGCAGCGCTCCTAGGCACACCTCATGGCAGCCGGCTGGCTGTTGAACTCGTGGTGCCGCTTCAGCGATCGTCCCGCTGCCGTGAATGCCCGCCGTGCATGCCGCGACTGCCGACTGGTTATCGGCAGTTCGCCATACGTCAGGGCGTGGTGATTCGCCGAGCTCAGCGACTGACGCGGAACCGGTTGTCCCGACCGGCGCTGATCCGTGGCGGTGCTCCGGTTTTCGACCGATAAACGACGACGAGAATCGACGACCGAACGGGACGAGATGGGAGCCCTGCTGAACGGGGTGGAACGGGGCTCGGCGAAAACGGGGTAGAACGGGTGGAGACGAGTTATGCATGAACGTCTGTTATCGACATGAAGAAGCGAATGGCCGGGATAGGTGATGATTTCTTGGTGCCGTGCACTGTGATAAATACCAGTCAATGTGTCATGTATCAATTTGTGTTCCGATCGTCCATTCGTATTCCGAGTGTCACTCCGTGCTCCGTGTGTCAGTCCGTGTTCCGTGTGTCAGCCGTGTTTCAGGTGTCAGCCCGCCTGTCGTATGTCGCGTGTCGTGTGTCCTTTGTCATACGTGTCGTGTCGTGTGCGGTAAGGCGGCTGGCAGGACGAACGGAACTGGATGTCGTTATCGCCTCGATCTCTACATAGGTGGTTCTGTGTCGCCGGCCGGCGATCCTCACTGACCGGCTTGGCCGTGCCCGACGAATCGCGGAGGCCCCGAAACAATGACGTTGAACCGCGCCACGCTGTTCATTGTGTAGCGTATGGGTGATCTGCCGAATGTGCGCTGTGCTGCGTGATATTGACGTTGCACATTTCCTTGCGTTGCAGATCTGTCAGCTGGTTGAGGACGTGCAAAGGCTGCAAAGTCAACTATCCGAGCTCGAAAATCAGTCCGTATGCCAAAGAGCCAAACTCGAGGAGGAGCTGTCGCAAAAGAGCAGCATCATCCAAAGGCTCGAGGCGATTATTGAGCAGCAAAAGGACTATGAAGAGCTCAAAAAGGAATTCTCGTAAGTCCCTTTGTAATGATGATTTTGGATGCTTGTTTGCTGTTCTGTAGTGTTGCAATATGTAGACTGAACGGCTTAGTGACCTTTGCGACTGAACGTAACGTGCAAACTTGCAATCGGGCGTGTCGTAAAGATATACAGCCGGTGGGCTGGGGCGGCCGGCCTACGTATTGATTGGGGCCTTAAGTCGCTCCAAAGACCCTTATCGGTGGCTCATAAGCCGTCGGCGGCTGTCACACACAGAGGGGGTCTGTTTGTCGGCAGGATCCTGAAATCGATCGAGTTTCCTGGCACGTCCCAGCCATCGGCCGGCGGCGCCGATGACAGATCTCAGTCGGAAGCCCGACCGCTGCAGGTGCTCATGCTGGAGAAGAGCAAGGCCATGCAGAACGAGAACACAGCGCTCAAAGTGAAGACCTCCGAGCTGCAGGGTGAGTGGGCCGCTGACCTGACCCCGGGTCACGCCCTGTACCCACCCCGCCCCGTCACCCTGGCCACGTCCAGCCCTGCTTGTTCCTTCCGTCGTGTCCTAGCGCACCTTGGACCGTGCGTTTGGTCCGGCCGGGCGGCGATCCGGTGTGTGGCGTCCTGCGAATGGCCTGTAACTAGCACAAAAGGACAACGTATCGGTACCAGGAACATACCGCCAACTGCAGCGAATGAGACGGACGGCTTGTTCGCACACTTTTATCGGATAAATGTCTTTCCAAATCGAAGCGTCAGCTCTCGTCTGTTTCTGTCATTGGAATTCAAGCCGTGTTCTTATGTCGGCAAAGCGGCTATCTGTGGAGCATATCGGACCGAGTGTGTCACAGACGACCGGTGAGTAATGGTGGACGTCGGTGCCGCGCACCAAGACACATGTTTTTGCGGCCATTACTGCAGCTGACATTTTCGCCGTGGTCGCCGCCCGTCCTCCGCGGGCCGCTGTGGCCCCACGCATACCGCTCTGGTTTGGTCATGGCTGGACTCATGTGAGGCATAGTCCGGTCTGCCGAGCCGGCGAGCGTGGTACCCACAGCGCGCCCTGACCAACCATCTACCCCGCTGTCCGTCCCCTGTTTAGATTGGGTTTGACCCAGATGTTAATGCACGCCCTGGTGTCCCTCCTCTCTTCACCCCGCCCCAGCGACCAACACCACCCTACCCTCCCCCGCCCTGCCCTGCCTGCCTCGTAGAAAAAGGTGCTTTGAGTTCCACTCGCCGCTCCTCGCTTGCCTCGCTGGCTGTCCTGGATTTTGTTGGCGCTGGCTGGCGGCTGAATGTTTTGTCCGCTGCCGGAGACGACCCTGACACCAGTCTCCGGTCTCCCTCGGGCTGTCCGGCCCCGCCAACCCGTAGTCTCCTCCCGCCCGCATGTCCTGTCACGTGCTCTCGTCGTGCAGTGGCACGACCTCGTCAGGTGGAGAGCAGAGATCGAAATTCTGAGCGGCGGGGAGCGAGCGGCGAACACAGAGCACCTTTCTCTTGCAGGCCTGGGCTTCCCGTCCGGGGAGTCGGCATTCGTGGGTGGTATCGGCGGCATCGGCGCGCGTCGGCCGCCGTTCCTGCCGGCGCCGCCGTTCGCTGCCGCCCCGTTCCCGTCCGCCAGCGGAGCTCTGGCGTCGCTGGCGTCTCAGTCAGCGTCTGCCTGCCTGCTGCCGCCGCCGCCGCCCACCTCGTGCGCTCCCCCTGAGCACGTGGCCTCTCTGATAGGCGAGGAGAGCTGGCGCGGCCCCTCGGACGCCGAGGAGGCGGCCAGTCCGGACGGCAAGTCGAGTCCGGCGGCCACCGAGCCGCTGCCGAGCCCGCGGCCCAGCCCCAGCCCGGCCGAGCACGCCGCCACAGTGGCTGCCGCCGCCGCCGCCGCCTACCGCTTCGACGAGACGGACCGCGCCGACCGGCTCATCCCCAAGGGCGACCCGATGGAGACCCGGCTCCAGGAGATGCTCCGCTACAACATGGACAAGTTCTCCAACCAGAGTCTGGACACGCTGCAGCTGGCGCGGCGTGTGCGCGAACTGCTCAGCGTCAACAACATCGGGCAGAGGATGTTCGCGCGCTACATCCTCGGCCTGTCGCAGGGCACTGTCAGCGAGCTCCTCAGCAAACCCAAGCCCTGGGAGAAACTCACAGAGAAGGGCCGCGACAGCTACCGAAAGATGCACGCCTGGGCGGTCGACGATGCTGCCGTCTACCTGCTGAAGGCCGTCATACCAAAGAAAGGTGAGCTGCTGTTGTGGTGTGGGGTTGTGGGAGTGTACGCATTACACAGTGTCCGCCGACGCACATGTGCATGAACACTGATCAGGGCACGCGGGAAGCAGGTAAGTGACAGAAACAGGGCACAGAGCACGGTCTCGAGCGGCTGGGACGCGGTGTTGCCAGCCGCGCTGCATTCTGACGCGACTGGCTGATGCAGGAGGCCATAAACGTCGTCTGCCGACAGCGGCTGTTGACTCGATATCGACAGGTGTCAAGCCTCCCTGTCGGTTTACAGCCCGCGACCGGTTATCTGGCTCCCGGGGCCGATAGCTGGCGATGGGAGACTGCCGTGCCGGCGGCTGACTTTGGTTCCGCCACACTGCACCTACGGCACCGCAACGGGGCGGGCTGTGTGCACCGACGACCTATGATAACAGTACGCGACATAGCTGAGCTCACTGAGCTGAAATGTGGAGGGTTCGCCATCGCCTGACCTGATACTGATCCGGCGGCCGGTGGGCGCGTTCGTGTCTCGCGACCGTCAGCAGCCAGCGGCCTGCAACAAACGACCGGCTTCTGAGCCGCCGCGCATCGGTAATTAAATCACGATATGCGGCGGGGCGTCACGCCGCGAGCGCGGCACCCATCAGCCACATTGGCCGCGGAATAAACATCTGGCGCGGCGGCCGAACACAAAGTCGTCAGGCGGACCGGCCGGATGACAAGCTCGTATGGTGGGTCGTCATTAGTTCGGCCCCATTGGCGGGCCTTGCCGTAGCCTTGGCTGGCGGCTCTGCACAAATATACACGGCCTGCAGCGCTCGGATGGCCGGCAGAGCGCTGCGACAGGCCGCCGCCGCCGCTGTGGTCGGCTCCGGTCGGCAGACCAGGCAATGAGGCGGTCTTGCGATGAATGAGGCCCTCCGCGTCCTCCCAGTGTGCGTTTCTTGGGACTCGTCACCGACTCCGTTGTCTATCGTTTCGTGGGAGCGCTTCTGCCGGCCGATCCGCCGACTGATGTCCATTTCCGCCTGTGGGCCGGTCAGTGTGGGAGAACGCCAGCTGGTGGTAGCTGGGTCGCCGCAGCCGACCGGCAGATATAGCCAGATTGCACTTTATGGCCGCGTTGACGATTGGCTCCGCGATGGTAGGGGTCGGGGGGAGATGTGGTGGTCGTACTCGAGCAGTGGGGACTGGTCGGGATTACCGACGTCAGGGGCCGTCACCAGCCCGAACCGATATGTCCGATGGGCGTGGCACGGTGATGTCCCGGCGTAGGGCGGGTCTGCACCGCCCCGTGCCGGTCGCCGAACGGGGAGGGGAAGAAGGGAGGGAGGGATGACTCTGGGCGCACCCGACGACCAAACGACGGCCATATAGTATAGGGTCGCCGCCACGATTTACGACGTGCAGTAAATCTCCTATTGTTTCGCAGTTTATTGGTTGCAATATTTCAGGGCCTGCCTGCGTCTTATCGATGGTGCACGATAATGAGAGCGCTATTGACACGTCGCGGGCGCGGGACGCCCGGTGGGGTGGGTGCAGCTGTGGCCGGGACGGACGGACAGGCAGATGGTCGCGCCGCGTGCCGGGTGCACTGACCACGTCCGGCGTTGCACGACCGAGGTAGGTGCAGCGCGCGCCGCTGTTCCGCGCACCAGGTCCTGTCGGCCAGCTCCGTCCTCAATGGAGACCGATGGCGAGCACATGTTGGCGCAATTGGTTCCGAGTTGCTGACCCGAGGAACTGGCGTGGAACGATGCGGTGATTCTGGTGCGTAGCTCGGCCTGCAGACGGCCCAGAGAAATGGCACAGAGAGGATGGCTGCCTCGCATGTCAACCGTCTAAGGACCGCAGTATATCGTCTGAAGAATGGCCAGTTTCAGGCAGCTGTGGCGGCGGCGGCGGCGGCGGTCATGGCGGCTGCTTCGAGCACTGAAAAGATGTCATCATCTTGCTTCAGAAGAAGGAATCAACAGTTCTTCCGCTAATAAAATACAGCTCAAGCCATTCGACGGCGACCGTCGCCGGGTAGTGCTGTTCGCCGAGCCTCAGATCTGTCCCCGTGCAGGGCTCATCATTCAGCCCTGCCTGCGGAGGTCGGGCCGGCGCCGGTGCAGCGTGCCGAGCCGACCCGTGCCGGCGGCATCTCGAAGGGAGTGGCCCTCCGCTCATTGAGTGCCATCAGCCGGCAGCCGGGCTGACTCACCAGCGCCAGCGCGCACGTGGTCAATAGGATAATGGTGGGCGGCAGCGGGCCCTGTGCTCGTCCGACCAGCCGCCCACTCGAGCCGAGGACGGCCAAGGAAACTGGCCGTACTTCCGGCACTGGCTGCCCGGAATATGCTGAATGTGCGGGAAAGTGCCAGAGAGTTGTAAGCAGAGTTGAATACCTACTGTGTTTTTACCATGAGCCATCAGGTAAAGATTCTGCAGAATGGCATTTGAACAGCCGCGCTTCGCATGTCTTGGATTTCTCACCGGGTCTCAGGGTGACGAAAATCGACTTGCGGAGCTCGGCACAGGGCATAGCGCTGAGACCCGTGCCGTGCCCGGCGTGGGGGTAGGCTATCTTGTGTGGCGTGCGTCGCAGCCGGCAGTCAGGCCGTCGGGCAGTGACCGGCGCCCGGTGACCGGTGACCCGACCCACCCCGGAACAGAGGACCGGCGGCGGCGGCGGCCCCATTAGTGCCGGAGCGCCGCCCGTTCCGGCGCCTCTCCCGCCGCCCCGGTTCAGGTCCGGCCGTGCCGTGAGCGGCCACAGTCTGTCCGCCCCCGGGGAACAGCGGCGTCTAGACGGAGAACCGTGCTGGGACTGCCGCCCGACGACGGCCAGTGGCTGGGTCGGGTTTGGATTCAGAGGTCAATAGGAACGACGACCATAGCAGACACTGGCAGGATCGTGACGCATTAATTGTTACTTAGTTCTTACCCCAGATTGATGTATTTGGTGTGGTTTTTCGGGGATCAACGGTAATATACGATCTTCGCAGAGTTGTAATTGCAACAATTACGGATTGATCAAGCGATTATCACTACCACCAAATGGTTGTAGACACACGCGATTTTGTCAGAATGGTATCAGGAACATTGCCTTCTTTATTGTTTTTCGCTTGTATGATATTGCTGGTGTCTAAAGCATGTTATGCTTCTGGCAAATAGAGGAGGCTTAGAGGTCCTCGTGGGAGACGTTACATGTGGGATGAAATTCGTCGATCTGTGGAACCCGGGTCACGGAGATGTCCTCCTTAGGAGATGTGACTGCCGTCGGCTGCCGGTCATCAGTGCAGCGTGACAGAGCCGGTGTCGGCCGTAGCTGACTTCGCGCCCCGCAGAGGCAGGGATCTATCCAGTATCCACGGAGACGGCTGGTCTCCGGCGATCGCTGTGTCGTGCCGTGCCGTGCCGTGCCGTGCCGGGTGGGATGAGCTGCCGCTCCGGTAGCGCCGGTAGGTAGCGGCCACTGCCAGGCTCTCGACGCCATGTTTGGTCAGCGCGACTCTGCCGCTGACCGGCGGCTGTTCAGGGGCTGGTCGGGGGCTGGTCGGGCGGCTGAGCGGGCGGCTGAGCCTGCTCATCCTGCCGAGCCGGTGCTGCATGCTCCTGCCATGGCGGGTGCTCACAGGTGGACCGGCCCAGGTGAGAGCCGGGTGAGAGTCCGGAGGCGACGTCTCACATTGGTACGGCTTGGACCTAGACCAGCTTACAATCGCAACGCACTTGCCAGATGCGTCTGCGGGTCTAGGCTGCTTTTTCCTGACCCGCTGGAGACATCACTCAGATACATCATTGAAAGGACGCCTGGGTCAAGCTCGACTAGTCGGGACAATGTCAGGAAGTGGCAGTGTTAGTCGCGGCAGTTCAGTGTGTTTATTTAGCGTTTGGCGGTCTCGCGGTTTCCCGGCTTTTTGTGTCTGTGTGAATACTTCGATCAACTCTGCTCTGATAAATATGACAGCTCAAAGACACAATTGTCACCCATGTTTATATTAGTACATTAATGTTTAGGTAAGCTGGTGTTAGTGAGCGAAAACATGACGTAAATGAAAGGAATAGATAAATAACTCCATTTCAGCATTCCACAGCGAGAAAATCAGTTTTTCATCCGTTTGATCCTCGTCCATTAATTACCCATTCTAAATCAACCATCATCCAAAAAGTATTGGATCAAACACAATAATGATCACGCCCATGCTTGGCAGGGTTCTTTGGTTGCCGCCCGTCAGAGCTGTTGTGAAGACTCCTTTCGTTGAGGAGACCCCGTTTGGTCCACCTTTCAATCACGCGCTCAGCGCCGTTCCGATAAGGTCAGAGGTCAGCCTTGGCGCGACCGCCCAGGGGTGGTCCTCAGCCATTTATGCGCCTTTAATAGCCGGTCCGCGGACGTATACCTCGTTAACATCCCCGCCGAGAGGAAGAAAAAACCTTAAATTGGGGCCGGTATGTGTGCTGGCGTGGCGTGGTTCCTCGGGCGCGTGGCCGGCCGCCCCGGGGCTGGCCTGTAGCGCAGTGCTACAGGAGGTAACGTCTTCCTCAGGCGGATGGTCGGTCAGGGTGTCTCGATGACCCCATAGCCAGCTGGACTCCTTTGTAGTCGCGAGGGGGGTTGCCGATGAACCGATCAGCGACCAAGTGCGTGCCTGCCATGAGTGGACGCCAGCCGCCACTGCTGGAGACTGGCACCGCGGACCGGGCTCGCTGGAACTCACACATATTTAATGTGAGACAGGCAGGAACTCGGGCATGTTTAATGCAACCGACCGACCGAACTTTGCAGCTCGACGTAGCGGTTCGGGAGGTGGTACCCGGTAGGAATCTGTAGTGACTCTTCCCATGCTAGAAATGTCTTGCCAAGGTATTGCTGCCCTATATATGACGGCTGTGTCCCAAACCCAAGGTGTCGTTCGATGAGCGAGAACTTCTGCTACCGTCGCGGCCACTGTCCCCGGGTTGGCGTGCCTCGTCCGATCGGCTCGGGCGTCGGCGGACCAGTATTAATCGGCTCTGAGCATGGCACCGAC